CCCAGCTCTACTTTGTCCCAACACATCTGTTTAATGTCCCAATGCGCTCTGTTTTTTCTTTCCTCTCAACTTTGCATCCAAACCTGTTTCTCTGGCTGCTATCTCTAATTACTGGGTCAATACTTCGATATCTTATATTATAATATTTGAAGCATTCAGTCTGTATTGCAGTGCTCCACGAGCTTTATCGTTTCTTGTTTTGTTCCAGTGAGGACGTTACGCCTGATCTGTGCCTGTGCCGAGGATTACAGGTGTCTTCATGAAGGGGACACGACTCCCAAAACAGCGGCCATGTGAGTAAACGATCAGCTCCAGTAAGTATCTGGGCCTTTACTGTGGTACTGCACTGACCAGTCTCTTTCACTAACACACAAAAATGACAAATGTAACTGAGAAACAATGCAACAGTTATACAACACAGTGGTGTATTGTTCTTTTAGTTGAATTGCTCTAAAGTACACCTCATTAAACTTAAATGAAAGCCCTTTCCTCGTTGCATATTCCTCCTAATAGGAAGGGAAAGACTCTTCCGAGATCCGCTCATAAGTACCCAAACATCATTTAAGGGGTCCCTGCCTTGGTAGCTGCCCTGTCAGCTCTCATCACTGCTCATTTAGGTCTGGCACAGCAGGCGCTGTCTTGAGTCTGTTGCCCTCCTGTAGAGCGCCTCTTCCTGACCAGGCCCAAAAGTGGGTCGTCCTGGCTGAGCCTGGAACAACACCATGGTCCAGTGAGGAGGTTTGGGGAATAAATGAAAAGGGATGGAGCATTTGTTACCAGAGACAAATGCTCAGTAGGTTGTAGCATGCATAGGGTTCAGCAAATTAAACGCGTTCTTTGTTGACAGAGTTGGACCAAAACTTTGTAAAATAAATGGCAGCAGAGCTCTGCGTATTTCTCATTGTGGCTTCGTATTATCGCTGAACTGTATCCGCTAGAGAACGCGTTAAAATCAGCTGAGTTTGGGCTTCATCTGTAATTTGGGCTGACAGTATTTTGGAATTATTAAGAGACTGAGACTTCTAGTGACCGCAAGTAAACAAACAGACGCTGGATTTCCTTTACTGAATGGGTGGGGATCATAGTCCTAGAATAAGAGCATTTATGAGGCTGTTAAAAGGACCACACTTAAGTTAAGGTTAGACGTTTTAAAATAGGACTCGTAACAGTCGACTCGAAACCTAGGGGGGATATGTCAGCAGCTTTTAAATAGGTTTTATGTGTGATTAATGCTTGTAAAAATCCTGTTCGCTCAAAGAGTCAAGGGGGAAAAACCATCTTCCTCCTTCAGAAAGCTCTTGGATATGTTTTCTTCTTTGTACACTCCAGTTGTTGTTGTTGTTGTTGAGCGGCTGAGGCAGTGTCTCCTGCTCCATATCTGTCTCTTTGCATCGGAGCGCTTGTGAAGTGATGAGACACGGCGGTGGAAGAGTTGATTGGGCGCAGCACTTCTCAAAGCTTTTGATCCAGAAAAGTTGTGACGTTGAGGGATTTTGATGTGCACCCTCACAACGCTAAAAGAAACAACTGGGCAACAAATGTCTCTCCAAGAAATGCAAAGCTAATCACGCTGCACTTGTTATGTGGAAACACGAATCACGCTGTGTCCTGCCACAGAAGACATTTCAATCAGTGACTATTTTAGATTTCAGAGCTTTGTTACCATCTTGTAGTAAAGATGAAATCTCCCGGTTGGACTGGACTTTGGCCCCAGACTGCCAGCGCTGGCATGTTTTTCTTTGCTGATTGCAGCTCAGTGCAGGGCCACATGTGGCTGCTTTTCTTACTCCCTTTTAAATACAGGTTGCCTTTGTGGATGTCACTGTGACTCACAGAGTGGGTGTTTTTAATCCAAGGCCTGACTCAGATTGGAAAGTCGTTTTTTAAAAATCTAATCAAGATGTTTCGCAGACAGAGAAGCTGTGTGTATGTGTTAATATTTATGTTTATATCGCATATTTATCTCTCCTTGTGTATATCGAGTACACCGTGCAACAACACTGAAGCGCACTATTTATTGTTCGCTGCGTGTTTCCGTGTGGATTGATCTGCTGCAGCGTTTCGGTGCCTGACTGGTCCCCCAGCTTTGTCTTCCAAAGATGCATCTGGTCAGGATTTGTGTGCTTTGGCTTTAGCTGGTGTTTCGTTGTTCAGTATATAGAAAATTTGTTTAACCCTTTAAGACCTACCATAGAACCAAGTCC